GTTTTTATTTATTTTGAGACTTGGTCTTGATAAATTGCTTGGGGACTCACTAAGTTGCTGAGGCTGGTCTTGAATTTGTAATCCTCCTGTCTGAGCTTCTTAAGGCACTGGGATTACAGGCATGTGCCACTGCCTGGCTGGGATTTAATACTAATACAGTGTGTATACTACAGCATCTTAAAGTACTGTAGGAACTGCCTGTGACATTATTATTAATATTATAACCATACTGTGGCTTCTTTAATATGAACATCATTAAAAAAAAGTAATACTAGAACTCTCCTGTGGCCTTTCATATTGATACAATATTCACATATAGTATCTAAGGCTAATATACTAGTTGCCCTATGGCCTTTAGTACTAATATAATATCAACACTGTGCCCCCTAAAACTGAAATAATAGTTGCCCTGTGGCCTTTTAATACTACATAAAATCTATACTACAGCATCTAACATGAATATAATACATACTTTGTAACCTTCAATTCTTTTATACTATATTAAATACTATAGCATTTAAAACTAATAAAATAGCAGCCCTGTGGCCTATCATTCTAATGTAGTATATATACTTGATCATCTTAAATAATATAATAGTTGCCCTGTTGCCTTTAATACAAACATCATATCCTAGTATCATCTCTAAAACTAATACTTAGCTTCACTGTGACCTTTAATACTAATATAATATCTATACTATAACATCTGAAAGAAATATAATGTATTCCCTGTGGCTTTTAATATTGATGTAGTAACTATACTATTGCATCTTAAGCTAATATAATAATTTCCCTGTGGTTTTAATATTTTTATGATATCCATAGAACAGCATGTAAAATTAATATACTAGCTTCCCTGTGGCCTTTAATGTTAATATCCATGCTCGAGCTTCCAAAACTATTAAAATAGATGCACTGTAGCCTTTTATAATAAAATGATATCCATTAATTAATAATAATAATAATAAAATAATGGCATTTCAAGTTAATATAATAATTCCACATAACTTTTAATACTATACAATATCCATATAATCTATAAGTGATGTAATTCCTGCTCCATGGCCTTCAATACTGATATAATATTCATACTAAAGCATAAAAAATGGATAAAGTGGCTTCCCTGTGTCCTTTAAGACTAATATAGCATTTAAAATTGATATGAGAGCTGCTCTGTGGCCTCTGATATTAATGTGCATCTAAAACTGATATAGGGCCAGGCGCAGTGACACATGTCTGTAATCCCAGTGGCTCAGAAGGCTGAGACAGGAGAATCGTGAGTTCAAAGCCAGCCTCAGCAAGAGCAAAGTGCTAAGCAACTCTGTGAGACTCTGTCTCTAAATAAAATACAAAATAGGGTCAGGGATGTGGCTCAGTGGTTGAGTTCTCCTGAGTTCAATCCCTGGTACTAAATAAATAAGTAAGTAAGTAAATAAATAAATAAAACTGATATAGTATTTGCCCTATGGCCTTCATAGCTAATATGATATCTACATTGCAACATCTAAAAGTAATATAATAGCTGCCCTGTTGTGTTTAATACAATTATTATGTCCATCCTATAGTATCAAAAACTGATATAACTGTTCTGTGGCCTTTTGTATTAAATATATTAAACATAATATTGCATTGAAAACTGATATAATAGCTGCTCTGTAGCTTTTGGTTCTAATTGATATAATTAATATAATAGCTGCCTTGTGGCCTTTAATGTTAATATAAATCCTTGTCATAGAATTGAAAACTAATGTAATAGCTCATGTAGCCTTTTGTGATAAAATTATATGATCTCAAACTATAATACAGTTACCCTGAGTTTTCAAAACTAAAGTAATATCCTTATTAGCATCTTAAACTAATACAATAGATGCCCTGTGAAATTTAGTATTAATTTAACATCCTAAACTAAATAACATCTTAAACTAATATATGTCCTGTGGCTTTTAACTTTAATGACATCTATATTAAATAGATATTAAATACCAAATGGGGCATTGTTCTGTAACTAGGTAACGGGGCTCTGTTTCTGTAACTGGGGTGACTGGGCTAGCTGTGATTGGTTAGGCTTCTCTCCACTTGACTGCACTGTCCTGCTTCTGTAACCTGGCTTGCTTGCATTGGCTGGATCCCCAAACATCCCTTTTGTGGTTTTCAGGCTTATAAGGAGTGCCCTTGCAATGTTTCAGGGCTGATCAGGGGAACAGCTTTATGTTCTGGTCAGCCACCACTGGTGTGCTTCAATAAAAGTTTGATTTGATTATATGTGAGTGGTTTGGAAGTCAATTTATGAAACCCTGGGATGAAGCTTTAACTATAACATATGCCTTTGGCTGGCCCCTTTGTCTCGGTGAGCTGCTGCCTCTCATCTGAAGTCCCTGCCAATTTTACCTCTTCTTAAGAAAACTGAGACACACAATTAACAGGGGAACTATCCCCAACGTGTTCTCTCCAAATAGGCTGATTTCTCCATGTGTGTGTTTCATGCTCCATCCTTCTTTTCCTGGAAGATGACAAAGACCTTTATTTCCCTTCAGACCACATAACCTGTAGCATGAACTGGCTAATAAAAGAAAAATAGTAGGATCTGACTATATGGCATGTAGTAGGGCTGTGGCTGGGGCAGCAAGGATTGAATGCACAAGGGAGGCCTATCCTCTAAGATGGAACCTGGAATCTCTTCCAGACCCAGTGCATTCCCTGGGCTCATCCTTTTAACCACCTTCTACCATGTTCCTGACTTCCTATATGCTTTGTCCTTATTTCAGACTCTGGGCATCATCAGTAGTGTCTGACAGTTCCATATGAACAGGATTCTTTTATGTTAGCTTGCAGGTGAAATCATTAGGGCCCTGCTGTGTGCTCCAGCCTTGAGACCCTTGCCTTCCAGGAGCCAAACAAGAAGCAAAGCCACCACAGGTCCCTAAAGCATGAGGAAGTCTAGACCTCCCTCCCTCCCCACATTTGAACAACTGACTATCTACTAAAGAGCATCTGGGCCCTATTCCTTCAAAGCTGGTTCAGGTCTGAAGAAGTGATCATAGATGTCTCCTACTAGGGTAGACAGAAAGGCAGGATAACTTCCTGGCAGTGATGGAATACCAGCTGTCAAATACCACCAGGCCCAGCACTAGGCAAAGTGCACCTAACATTGCATGGTAAACCTTGTGACACTGCTTCTGGAGAACCTCAGTGGCACAGCACCTGCCACAGCATGGTTCTCACCTCAGCAGGACCATCCTCAGATGATCAACTTGGGGGAAATGGTTGCCTCCTACACATGGTCATGTGGTCCCAAGGTGGAACTCCTTGGCAGTTCTAGAAGCACCCTAGTGAGCAGTGGGGCACTTCTGGACAATGTTAGTGGAACTCAGCTAACATCTTTCACAGATCCCCACCTGACCAGGTAGCTCCTCTGGGCCAAGCCAGGCTGGACTTTGCACTGTACCATCAGGACTGACCTCTTTGAGTTTATGAAAGGAAGGAAATTGGTGACTCCCTAAGACGCCCTCTCATTCATAGCCTAGCACAATCTGCTTGCTTTATTTTTACTGCCCCCCCCCCCCCCAATTAAGTATGCTGTGCCATTTTGCTAACCTAACTTCCCTCAGGGGAATATGGGACTGATGTCCACACCAAGACTATGCAAAGTCTTTCACATGGCAGCCTCTACTTGTTTCTTAGTGGTGTGGGCCAGGCCCCAATTGTACTGAAGCCTTCTTTTTGTCTTCAGAATGCTCCTAGGATGTGAGTAGATGTGTATAAATGTAAGATAGGGATCTATTTATGTTGCTGTAGCCATACATTGAAGGCCAACATCATTCATGGACAGGGAGGGTGAGATACCATAACAGTCTTTTGGTGGCTATTTTTTTTAAGCAAAATTTGTATAAAAGTTTCTTTTTGTTGGCTTTGTTTCCCATTTGTACACCAGTCCCTAGAACAAGTGTTAAGAATAGAAAATAAAATAAGCCAAACCCCAAATACCAAATACTGAATGTTTTCTCTGATAAGCAGATGCTGATCCATAAAGTGAGGTGGGGGGATGAAGAAACTTTGGATTGGGCAGAGTGGAGGGAGGGAAGGGGAGAGGTGTGAGGTGTGAAGGATGGTGGAATGAGAGGGACTGTAAAACTCTATATACATGTGTAACTACACTACTGGTGTGACTCTGCACCATGTTCAGCCAGAGGAAGGACAAGTTGTGCTCCATTTGTGTACAATACTGTCATGTGTAACTCATTAGAACAACCTAAAAAATTAAAATTAAAAAGATAAATTTTTCTTAAAAGAATAGAAAATAAAACTGTCAAGAAGAAATTTATTGGCTAATTCTGAAGCCTAATTTAAAAAAAATTCAATTTTCCCTCTTTGCCATTTTGCAAAAATCTCTAAGGTAGGACAGTATTCTTAACTTTGATGTGCCTTTACAGTTTTCACAGGGAAGGGTGTATGTTGCTGTTTAGTCTGCAGCATTAAAACTCAGGTCAGGATGGCAATGGAGAATTGGGCTTCTCTCCATCCTGGGTTTGAGCAAGATGGAGAACATTTTCTTTCACGAGTCTCCATCTTTGGTGACTGAGAGGCATGGAAAGCTTTTGTAAGAACAGAGGGCACAGTGGAGAAAAAGGCATGAAGTACCCAAGGATATATTTAGTTAGGCTGCAAAAATCTGTCTCAGTGCATGTTCCCCTTTGAAGTACCTATCAGGGCCGGGCAGTCCATCAGCCTCCATCCTCAGTATAAAGAAGATCAAAAGTTAAAAAGAATTTGAAGATTTTCATTTCAAAGGTGGGGGGTCTGTTTCACAATCAGTTGTGGGGATTGTGGGAGCGACTCCCTGGACTGTAATATCAAGCACTTTATTGGTTGTGGGACTCTAATCTAGAATCTGCATTATTATGTAAGTATCCCAGGTGATTCTGATGCAGACAGTTTAACACACTGATGATTCTGATACAGGTGGGCCACAGACCACAGTTTAACACACATTGTGCATGTCATTGAGTCACAAAAATAAATTTATTTAAAAACCTTAATTAAAAATATCATTCCACAAATTTTGAAATAAAAATCTTAAAATAATCCTTCAGGAAATTCTTGTGTTCTTTCACCTTCCAGAATTAAAATAAGGCAATTGGTCTACAGTTATTTCCTAGAAATAGTTCAGAATAAATACAAACAATGACAGAACAAAAACTGTATACATTATCAACAAAGCCACCACCATTACCAGCAGCAACAACCAAAGACCCTTCAATAGACCTCCCTTGTAGAGACATGGCCACTCCTGTGGGGAGATGTGAAGTCAACCTGTGCTTTACACTTGGGTGTTTTAAGGATTTGCATGAGTGATTTTGGCTTTGAAATACAGAGGAATTTGTTGGTAGAATTAGCTGAATGGTTGAAAACTCCCCAGACCAATTACTGAATTTAAAGACAAATCAGCCAATGGTAAGAACCTCTGGCCCTCAGTTTATTGCAGCAGCCTGAAAATCTTCTTCCTTTATCTCTGTGCTTCAAGGGCTGGTGGCCTTGATAAAGTAATCAGTGATCACAGGACACCTCGAGTCAGTTTACTAAGTAGCAACTTTACGATGACAACAACATATCACCTCTTGTAAGTCTGAAAACTGGTGAATACAGTCCCCAGCTACTTTTGGAGAAAACCTTTTAAAGCTATTGTATTTCCCCTTTTATGGTTGTAGAAAAATAACTGTTTGAATTAATAATGTTTTAAAAGGTGACAGCAAAATATCCTTGAGGCAGATTCTATAGTATGTGATTTTTTATAAGTCTATTCTTTCCCTTTGTGTGGCAGAAACAGAACTTATTCTGTAAAAAAGAAAAGAGGGAAACCTCAGTCTATATGACTACCATTGTCTTCCAATTTTCTCTAATTCAAATAAAATCCATGGAGGAATCCTGTGAGGAAAATAGAGTGAAAGTCCATAAAAGGGGACAGAAAAGAAAATAGAGCACAAGTACCTATTGTAGCACTTAAAATATATAACAGTGTCTCTCGATCTGCTGACCTAAGACCTAAGACCTTCAGGGTTTACAGAGTTCATCGTGTCCCCCAGAGCTCCTCACTGCTGAAGTCAGAGAAAGTAGCACTAGTGCTGATTTTCCATCGCTGTGGCAACGACTTTCCACAAACATCACGGCTGAGAACACATCTCATTATGTTAGAGCTGTAGGTTAGGAATCCACCAGGGGTCCCACTGGCCTAGAATCACTGGGGGACACAATCACTTGTTTACATTGATACAATCATTGTATCACCCAATGGAGGACCTTGGGCACTTCCTGCTTCCTTGCTTTTTCTGGCTCTAGAAGCCACCCACTTCTTGGCTAGTGGATGCTTCCTGCACCTTCAAAACTAGCAACAGCTGGCAGAGTGCCTGATCCATCACGAGACTTCTTTATCTCCTCTTCCATTTTAAAGATCCATGGGATTACTTGGATTTTGTCAATTACACCATGCCATCCAGGATGGCCTTCCCATCTCATGTTATTGAATTACACAACTAAATAACATTAAGTAAATCCATGGTTTGGAAAATCATTATCACTCCCCATCTCCAGAAGCTTATCACCCCAAACTAAAATCATACAGTAAGGTTTAGTTTCTAACACTAACTTCCAATCTTTTTCTTCCCCCTGTTTTTGATAACCAGCATTCTATTTTCTTTATATGTAAATTTATCCACTCCTAAAATCTCATTCAATTTGAAGAGACCGTGTTTGTTTTTTGGCCTGTGCTTCTTTTGCTTAGCATAATGTTTTCAAGAATCAACTTGTTTGAGCATGTATCAGAACTTCATTTCTCATTAGGGTCAAAAATATTCCATTTCATGTCTAGACCATAAAATGACATGTTGCCTCCAGGATAACTACCAGGAGATACATAACTGTGCATATAAGAAGTCAGAAGGCAGTCTTATCAGGGTCCCTGCAGTGATTAGGTGTGGTAAATCCACACAGATGTACCACCATGTAAACAATGAGAAAGCTCCATGGGTGGGTAGACATAAAGGTAAGAACATATTTGTCCTGAATAAGGATCCAGGTTGTAAACAAACAGAAAAGAGCTGATACGGATGTGGGACTGTTGTTGATCACTAGAAAATAAGATTAAGTTTCTCTCTCTCTTTCTTTCTCCCTGAGAACTGGTAGCTCCCTCCCCACAAAAATGGATAAAAATTTAGTAATCAATGTCATTTTTTTTGCCTATGTGATTGGTGAAGATAAATAGTGTCCATTTTAGTGACAGCAAAGTGAAATGTATTTCCTCACTGGACTACAATTAGGCAATATCTGACAAGTTTAAATACACACAGCCTTAACCTAGAACATCAGTTTCACAAAAAACATACTGGTGAACACAGAATTCATGCAAAAGATTCCCAAAGAAGCATAGTTTGCTGTTAATTCTATCTCTTCCACTCCTCTTAGCTAATTTGGCATTCTCTGAAGATTTGCGTGGGGCAGCCATATACTCATACCATGGCACAGAAGGCCTGGCACATGGGCTTCCACCCTGAGCAGCCCCTCAGTCCTTAATTTGTTCCTCGTAAGTGACCTCTTACTGAAAATGACCTCAAATTTTCTACTAGCAACTTATCTGTTTCCTATTTCCTAGAAATATGTCATCAGCAAAGGTAAATTCTGCAGTGTTCTCTCATTCACAAGCATTTGTGGCATCTCTAGCCAATTCTGAACCCAGCATGTACCCAGTTTGATATAATACAGTATGGTGTGTGGCATGATGTTGGAAGCATGGGGAAAAGAAAAAAAACATATGGACAGACACAAAACCAGAGTAGAGAGAGGCATTCATTAGATATACCATCAAGGATTTACAAAGGTAACACAGGCACATGGACAGGGAAGATCTTTAATATTTATCTTAACACTTTATTATTGAAACTTCCTTCTGAACCTCATAAATAGTTAAAATTCTTACATGTAAATCGAAAAAAGTTTCCCATGTGAGATGACATGGAGTGGAGATAAGCATGAGAGCTGGAGCCATACACATTGGAATGAAGGAGAATGGCTGTGATGACCACATAGATAAAAGTAACATTAAAGAATTACTCACAGAGAGAATCTAGAGGGAGGCTGCATTCTTTGTCACTCCATGACCTGGGATTCAAGCAGTGGGAATAACATTTCTCTGTGAGTTATCAGAGGAACCCCAACAGCTGCTCCCACACAGGAATCCTGGCCTCTGGGTCAGCCCAGGACCCCTGGCTCCTATTCCTGCATGGGACCCCCAATCACCACTTGTACAAAGGACCTCTGGCCACTGCTCCCACGTGGACCCCCTTCTACCACCATAGGGCTATTTGGTCATTTCCATCTTGGGACACTTCAATCACTGCCATAGTCACCTGCATCTGGGGACACGGAAGAGCATTTGGAGAAACCTGCCAACCACAACACTGCATGCCACAGAGCTACGACTTCTAACATGCCACCCAATGCCACTACTCAGCCCAACTCGACCCAACACCCCAACTCTGAAAGCAGACACCTCCAGCTTGGGACACTTTTGTTGCCATCTTTAGTTGGGGCAACTCTCAGCTTGGGAAACTGGCTGGAGCCTAAAAGCAATATCAAGTATTTATAGTACTCCAACTCCCCCTTCTCCCCTTTAGCCACTAACCTGGCACAGCACTTGCAGCTATGTGGCCAGTATATAGCTTGCAAAGACTAGTCCTGACCTGCCTGATTCAAAACACCTCTGAGAAAGGTGCACATGCCCCAGAGTGCAGCTCACAAAAACTCCAGAGAGAGGTTCCTGATTGAGAAGTAGAAAGGGAGGGGGTGATTGAGATACAGTTTAAAGGCTAAAGTAGAGATCAGGAATTGTGAGATCTATAGGCAAGATAAGAAGAAAAGACCAGGTGCAGGACCCAAAGGATACCTTTGGGGTGCAATTTTCCAACAAGGACTGGAAAGGGCTATACCCCACCTCCAAGACCAACCCTCCCTCCCTGACAACCTTCACCACCCTGAGGGTGAAGATACCAGCAACCAGCAGACAACCCCTCTCACTGGATATGAAGGGAAGCAGGAAAGATACGAAACTCCAACAGAAAAAAAAAATCTTTTTTTTTTTCTTCAGGATTTTCCTTCTTTTTTTCTTTCCTCTCTCTCTTTTTTTGCCCAAATACTTTTCATGGATTAGGTTACTGAGGACTGTGATGTAAGAATAGTATATTACAGTTGTGTTGTATATTCTTTTATATCTTATTTTTATATTTCTTAATTTTTGTTTGTTTGTTTGGTTTTTTTTTGGTACTCTTTCTATTGTCTTCCCACTTACCTGTCTTCCCCAAATCACTTTCTCTCTTTTCTCCTGCTAACAGCCAACTTCTTTCAATTCCTCTTTCATGCTTCCTAAAATCTAGTACCTCTGTATCTTTACCTCCCACTATCTTACCGTCTTATCCTACACCCCACCCCCAGTTCTCTCTTTGTCCACCATCAGAAACTGTAGACCCTTGGGCTGGGGTTGTAGCTCAGTGGTAGAGTGTTTGCCTTGAACATGTGAGGCACTGGGTTTGATCCTAAGCACCACATAATAAATAAATAAATAAATAAATAAAGATATTGTGTCTATCTACAACTTAAAAAAATAAAAAAAAAATTTAAAAAAACCTATAGACCCTTTTGCAAACCTACTGTTTATATTGTAGATAATAAGTGAACTCACCATTTCTGTATATTGTAACAAAAACATAAATGTCTTAATAGGAGCTATTTGGTTTAAGGCTGTGTATTGTTTGAATTGGGATCTGTTAATATTGATCTGCCCCTTAAAGGACAAGTACTGAAACCCTACAGATACAGTATAAACCTATAGGGTAAAGGCTTTAACACCTCAGATCCACAGTACTAGAAGGGAAGACACAAGACCAACATGGGAAAAAAAAGGAAGAAAGTACCCCAAACAAACCAAGATACTACATTATTAGAATCAACGGCCAGCACAGAAGAAGAAATGTCAGAGAAGGAGTTCAGGGTGCATGTGATTAAAATGTTCCTTGACTTAAAGAATGATATAAGAGTGCAAATACAGGCATAAAAGATCATTTTGATAAAGAGCTACATAAGCAATACAGAAGCAAGGCATTACATTTATATGGCGATAGAGATTCTGGAAAAAAAAAAAAAACAAACCACAAAACAAACAGAAATCCTTGAAGTGAAGAAAACATAAACCAAATTAAAAACTCAATAGAAAGCATCACCAACAGATTAAATCAGTCAGAAGACAGAACTTCAGACAATGAAGACAAACTATATAATCCTTAAAATAAACTCAACCACACAGTGAAAATGGCAAAAAAACATAAGCAGAACATTCAAGAATTATGGGATATCATAAAAGACCAAATTTGAAATTATTGGAATAGAGAAAGGCATAGACTTACAGACCAAAAACAATCTATTCAATGAAATAACAATCTATTCAATGAAAAATTTCTGACTAAAAAATTTTCCAAACATGATGAATAAATTGGAAAATCAAATACAAGAAACTTAAAGAACACCAAATGTACAAAATCACAACAGATTTACATAAAGTCACATTATAATGAAAATGCCCAGCATACAGAATAAGGAGAAAATTTTAAAAGTCGCAAGACAAAGGAATCAGATTACATATAGGGGAAAACCAATTATAATCTTTGCAGAGTTTTCAAGCCAGACCCCGAAAGCTAGAAGATCCTGAAACAACATATACCAAGCTCTGAAAGAAAATGGATGCCAATGAAGAATCTTATATCCAATAAAATTAAGCTTTAGATTTGATGATTAAATAAAAACATTCCATGATATACAAAAGTTAAAAAAATTTACAACTAGAGAGCCTGCACTACAGAACATCTGTGGCAAAATATTTCACGAGGAGGAAATAAAAACAAAGAAAATCAACAAAGGGAGGTATTACACTAAAGAAAAAAAAATCAATCAAATGAGAAATCAAGTTAAGTTAAAATACAAAAATGACCAGGAACACAAACTAGGTCTCAATAAAAACCCTGAATGTTAATGGCCTAAACTCATCAATCAAGAGACATATACTGGCAGATTGGATTTTTTTAAAAAAAAGACCCAACAATATGCTGTCTTCAAGAGACTCATCTCATAAGAAAAGAAATCCAGACTGAAGATGAAAGGTTGGGACAAAACATACCACTCACATGGACTGTATAAGCAAGCAGGGGTTTCCATCCTCATATCAAATAAAGTAGATGTCAAGCCAAAGTTACCCAAAAGGGATAAAGAAGGTCATTTCATACTGCTTAAAGAAACCATACATCAAAAAGACATAACAATTATAAATATATATGCCCCAAACAATGGAGCATCTACATTCATCAAACAAACTCTTCTCAATTTCAAGAGTCAAACAGACCACAACACAACAATACTGGGTGACTTTAACACACCTCTTTCACCACTGGATAGGTCTTCAAGACAAAAGCTAAACAAAAAAAGTATAGAACTCAATAATACAACTAATAACTTAGACATAACAAATATATAGAATATTTTATCCATAAATGAGTAAATATACTTGCTTTTCAATAGCACATAGATCCTTCTCAAAAACAGACCACATATTATGCCACAAAGCAACTCTTAGCAAATACAAAAACATAGGGATAGTACCCAGCATTCTATCAGATCATAATGTAATGAAATTACAAATCAACAAAACAAACAATAGAAGCTACTCCAACACCTGGAGACTAAATAATATGTAATTAAATGAAGAATGGGTTGCAGAAGACATCAAAGAGAAGATTAAAAAATTCCTAGAGGTAAATGAGAACAATGATATAACACATCAAAATCTTTGGGACACTATGAAGGCAGTAGTAAGAGGAAAGTTCATTGCATGAAGTTTATTCCTTAAAAGAAGAAAAATATCAACAAACAAATCACCTAACATTACACCTCAAAGCCCTAGAAAAGGAACAAAACAACACCCAAAGCAATAAAAGACAGGGGATAATTAAAATCAGGGTTGAAATCAATGAAATTGAAACAAAAGAAACAATTTTTAAAAATTGACAAAATAAAAAGTTGGTTCTTTGAGAAAATAAGTAAAATTAATAAACCCTCAGCCATGCTAATGAATAGAAGGAGAAAACTCAAATTACTAAAACCTGTGATACAAAAGAAACTATCATGACAGACACTACAGAAATTCAGAAGATAATTAGAAATTATTTTAAAAATTTGTACTCCAGTAAAATAGAAAATATTGAAGACATCAACAAATTTCTAGAGTCATATGATTTACATAAACTAAATCAGGACATTATACACAAGTTAAACAAATCAATTTCAAGCAGTGATATAGAAGATGCCATCAAAAGCCTACCAACCAAGAAAAGCCCAAGACTAGATGGATTCACAGCTGAGTTCTACAAGACCTTCAGAGAAGAACTAATACTAATACCCCTCAAATTATTCCATGAAATAGAAAAAAAGAGAACACTTACAAACTCATTCTATGAGGTCAATATCACCAATTCCAAAACCAGGCAAAAACATATCAAGGAAAGAAAACTTCAGATTAATATTTCTTATGAACACAGATGCAAAAATTCTCAATAAAATTCTGGCAAATTGAAAGCAAAAACATATTAGAAAGATAGTACACCACTGTCAAGTGGGGTTCATCCCTGGGATTAAAGCTTGATTCAACATATGAAAATCAATAAATGTAATTTATGACATCAATGGACTTAAAGACAAGAATTGTATGATCATCTCAATAGATGCAGAAAAAGCATTCAACAAAATACAGCACTGCTTCACGTTCAAAACACTAGAAAAAATAAAATAATAAGAACGTATCTCAATATTGTAAAAGCTATCTATGCTAAGCCCAAGGCCAACATCATTCTAAATGGAGAAAGATTGAAAGCATTCCCTCTAAAAACTGGAACAAGGCAGGGATGCCCTTTTCTACCACTTCTATTTAACATAGTTCTTGAAACTCTAGCCAGAGGAATTAGTCAGATGAAAGAAATTAAAGGGATATGGATAGGAAAAGAAGCAAACTATCACTATTTGCCAATGATATGATTCTAACAGGATTTGAAAAATTCCACCAGAAAACGTCTAGAACTAATAAATGAATTTAGCAAAATAGCAGGATATAAAATTAAGATCCATAAAAAATGCATTTTTATACACCAGTAACAAATCCACTGAAAGAGAAACTAGAAAAACTACCCCATTTATAATAGCCTCAAAACAAACAAACAAACAAAACCCTGGGAATCAATTTAACGAAAGAGGTAAATGATGTTTATAATGAAAATTACAGAATGCTAAAGAAAAAAAATTAAAGAAGACCTTAGAACATGGAAAGATTTCCCTTGTTCTTGAACAAGCAGAATTAATATTGTCAAAATGACCATACCACCAAAAGCACTATACAAACTTAATGCAATTCCAATCAAAATCCCAATGACATTCCTTATAGAAATAGAAAAAGCAATCATGAAATTCATCTGGAAAAATAAGAGACCCAGAATAGTCAAAGAAATCCTTAACAAGAAAAGTGAAGAAGTGAGGCAGGTGGCATCACAATACCATTCCTTAAACTATATTACAGTGCAGTAGTAAGAAAAACAGCATGTAATCACACCAAAATAGACTTGTAGATCAATGGTACAGAACAGAGGACACAGAGACAAATCCACATAAATACAGTTATCTCACACTAGACAAAGGTGCCAAAAACATATATTGGGGAAAAGATAGCCTCTTCAACAATCAGTGCTGGGAAAACTGGAAATCCATATGCAGCAAAATGAAATTAAACCTCTATCTCTTACCATGCACAAAACTCAACTCAAAGTGGATCAAAGACCTAGAATTAGGCCAGAGACCCTGTGTCTTATAGAAGAAAAAGTAGGTCCAAATCTTTTATCATGCCAGATTAGGCCACTACTTCCTTACAAGACTCCTAAAGGACTAGAAATAAAATCAAGAATCAATAAATGGAATGAATTCAAACTGAAAATCTTCTTCTAGCAAAGAAAACAATCAGTGAGGTGAACAGAAATCTTACAGAATGAGAGCAGATTCTTACCACTTGCACATCAGATAGAGAACTAATATCCAGGATATATAAAGAATGTAAAAATCTTAACACTAAAAAACAAATAACCCAATCAATAAATGGACTAAAGAACTGAACAGATACTTCTCAAAAGATGATATACAATTGATTAACAAATATATTTTAAAAAGTTCAACATCTCTAGCAATTAGAGAAATGAAAATCAAAACTACTCTAAGATTTTCTCTCACTCCAGTCAGAATGGCAGATATTAAGAGTACAAAGAACAGATAGTGTTGGTGAGGAAGTGGTGGTAAAGGCACATTCATACATTGCTGGTGGGACTGCAAATTGGTGCAACCAATATGAAAAGCAATATGGAGAATCTTTGGAAAACTGGGAATGAAACCACCATTTGGCCCAGCTAGCATACTCCTTAGTTTATACCCAAAAGACTTAAAAACAGCATACTATAGGGAGGTAGCCACATCAATGTTTATAGCAGCACAATTCACAATAGCTAAATTGTGGGACTAACCCAGATGTCATTCAATAGATGAGAAGATAAAGAAATTGTGGTATATATACACAGTGGAATATTACTTAGCATTAAAAGAGAATAAAACCATGGCATTTGAAGGTAAATGGATGGAGAATGTCATGCTAAGTAAAGTAAACCAATCTCAAAAAAACCACAGGCCAAATGTTTTCTCTGATAAGTGTATGCTGATCCATAATGGGGATGGGAGAGCATGGGAGAAATGGAGGAAGTTCAAATGGGGCAAAGGGGAAGGAGGGGAAGGGGGGGCATGGGGGTAGAAAAGATGGTGGAATGAGATGGAGATCATTACCCCAGATACTTGTATAAAGACACGAATGATGTGACTCTACTTGGTACACAACCAGAGGAATGAAAAATTGTACTCCATTTGTGTACTAAGAACTGAAATGCATTCTGCTGTTACGGATAACAAATTTGAACAAACAAATAAATTAATAAATTAAAAAAATTACACACACATTATTACTATTTCCACAGTTCTCTTGCCCAGAAAAGTTATCATTAGATTGCAATGTTTTATATCCAAGTTAATTTAAATGAAATCAAAGTTTGTGGGTGTTTTGTTGACCCACAGTGCTAACACATGGAGGAAATATAGGATAATTTTTGTGTGTTTTTGGTGTTCATTTGAATCAAATTTTGTGTGTTTCTGTGTGGAGACATGTGCTACTGTACCTGTAAGACCTAAAAAGGGACAGGTTTAGTTTACAATATAAGGACTGAGATGTGCAGATGTACTGGGAAAGCATGCCATATACTATCTATCATACAATCTGTAATAGCCCTTATATATTATAAAGTAGAATAAAAGAGGTCTCTAAAATCAAAAGATACCTAATAAAATAAATTGTAGGAGTTTTAAAAGTTTATATAATTTTAAACTTTTTTTTCTGGTCATATTTCCTTGTGGGGTGTCCAAGACTAAACAGGTGGTCCTATTCTGGGCTGTTTTTCTAAATTTTTGGAGGTCAGTCAGGAGTTACTCTTATTTAGTTTATGAGGAATGCTTGTCTTCCTCAGTCTTTTTTCTCTACCGAACATGCCAAGAGCCATGATAGGCCAGTTTCTTGTTGACCACAGGATTTCCCATGCAAGCACTAAGAATATCTCTCTCTTCAATGACTCCTTAAAACAAAATATGCACTGTAGGATCCTAGTCTCTGGGGTGTTCATAATCCACCTGATTGGGAGATTTTATGACTTTCCAGAGATGCCCAGCCTTTAGGAGTACTGTCATTCTATAAGGTAAGATATTAACATTGTAATTCAAAATATAAAGATCTAGGGCTCATTTTCATCTCTCTATATCATTCTTATAACTGTCTTAATATCTCCACAAACACAAACAGAAAAACTATAACAATTTGATTTATGCAAATTATATTTCCCAAATAAGTTTGATTAGTGTGTTAAATAAGAGATGTTACAGTACTATTTATCCAATAGTATGTCTGTTACATAAATCCCTTAGTCAAGTGGAAAACTGTGATATCTTTGAGATAATGACATGATTCAATATATGACAGTGTTAACATATTAACATTCACTTATATTCATTAACATGTTGCATACATAATGTGAATATAGGTAAAAATGCACTGTAAACTGGGCATGGTGGCCCATGCCTGTAACCCAAGCACATTGGCAAGCTGAGGAAAAATTTTCACAAGTTCAAAATCAGCCTTAGCAACTTAATGAGGTTTTAGGCAACTTAGCAGACCCTGCCTCAAAATTTAAAAGGGCCAGGGGGGAAGACTGGGAATGCGGCTCAGTGGTTAAGCATCCTTAAATTTAACCCACAGTACAAGAAATAAAGTTTAAAACATTAAAATTGAATGTAAAGCCTCTTATAATTGTTTCTTATAATTGTTTTCTCCAGTATTCAAAAGTGCAAATATTCAGTAATCTTTGATTTATAAGAAATGTGTATCCTTTCAAAGATGAGTTATTTGCATTCTGGATGTATAATATTTACAATGATTTTGTTATTTCTCCATATCTCCTAATAATAATTAATAAATTTTAAGCAAATATTAAAGCCAGTTGCTCATTTTCTATATTTAAATGATTTTCTCTTTTACTGACTCTCAAATATATCAAGTTATGAGGTATGGATAAGGACTTTACTATACTTCTTTTATACTTGTCAAAGTTTTTTTATTGTAAATATTTTGCCTTTATATACAACACATATTTTGGACAAATGCTGTTTAACCTTCACTACAGGTATAAGGTTTCAGATGTTCAATAAATTTGAAATTTAAATAAAGGCTTGGAAACATTATTTAACTTTTTAAGATTGCTAAGCACTATGAATTCTCCAAAGTTCAATAATGTCTGAGCAATGGCTATGAGTTTTAAAACAATTTTTTCCACTCATACTCTCTCCTACTAGTATGTTTTCTCAGGTGCTGAGTAAGGGGTGACCAACTGTTAGAGACATTTTTACATTGTCACAGTTTTTTCATTTGAATAATTTTTCTCTGCTGTAATTACTCTGGTGTGGAATAAATTTTGACCCACCCTTGAAGAAATGGCATACTGTTATCATTTGTAGATCTTGTCTCCAATATGAATTCTCTGATGTCTAGTAAGGTTTGATGGATGATTAAAAGTTTTGCCACATTCTTTGCATTTGTAAGCCTCTCCAATATGAATTCTGCTGTGGTAATTAAGGGCTGATTTTTGACTATAAACTTTGTCACATTCTTCACATTTGTAGGGCTTCTCTCCAGTATGAATTCTGCTGTGGTAAATAAGGCTAGTTTTTCGATTAAAAGCTTTGCCACATACTTTGCATTGATAGGGCTTCTCTCCACTATGACTTCTCTGATGGCGAACAAGGCTTGATTTTTTGCTAAAACCTTTGTCACATTCTGTACATTTGTAGGGCTGCTCTCCAGTATGAAGTCTGCTGTGGCAAACAAGGCTTGATTTTTCATTAAAAGCTTTGTCACATTCTGTACATTTGTAGGGCTTCTCTCCAGTATGAATCCTCAGGTGGGGAATAAGGTATGCTTTTTTAATAAAAGCTTTGCCACATTCTTTACATTTGTAGGGATTCTCACCAGTATGAATTTTGCTGTGGTAAGTAAGGTTTGATTTGTCATTAAAAGCTTTGTCACATTCTTTACATTTGTAGGGCTTCTCTCCAGTATGAATTCTGCTGTGGCGAATAAGGCTACTTTTTCGATTAAAAGCTTTGTCACATACTTTGCATTGGTAGGGATTCTCTCCAGTATGAATTCGCTGGTGGCGAATAAGTCTTGATTTTTTACTAAAAGCTTTGTCACATTCTGTACATTTGTAGAGTTTCTCACCAGTATGAATTCTGCTGTGATAAATAAGGTGCATTTTTTTAATGAAAGATTTGCTACATTCTGTACATTTGTAGGGCTTCTCTCCAGTATGAATTTTCTGGTGGTGAATAAGGTGTGTTTTTTTAATGAATGCTTTGCCGCATTCTTTACATTGGTAGGGCTTCTTTCCAGTGTGAATTCTCCGATGGCAAATAAGGTGAGATTTTTCATTAAAAGCTTTGTCACATTCTTTAAATTTGTAGGGCTTCTCTTCAATATGAATTCTATGGTGGTGAATAAGGGCTGACTTTTGATAATATAATTTCTGATGTTCATTCTCACTTACAATTTTCCATATTTTTCTTTGTTGTGAATAGTCAAGTTCATAATTTCCATATTTTCCATTTATTACTTTTTGAAATATATGTTTTATGCCCTGTTCTTGTGAAAATTCTTGCATATAATGAGAAGCCATGCCTGAAATAAACCAATATAGAAATTATTTTACTTACTAGACTGGGATGAATATATTTTGCATAGATAAGATATGAAATTATCACAATGTAAGGAAATCAGTGGGATAGCATATTAGTAAATCGAAGGTCATCATTACTCCAGAAATATATAAGTAAAAATGTACAGACAAAAATTACCTTGTGAAAATTACTCAAACTATTGTAGAGACCATAGTATCCAAGATGATTATATTACTAAGGAGAATAATATAGTAGAGAGAAAAAAATGTAACTTTTTCCAAATACAGCTATTGCTTCTCCACAATATAGCATTGTGCAATTAGAAAAAATCCACCAGCTACCTTCATTCTCAGTAGAATAAGAAAAATATAAAAGACACACAAGCATTTGTGGCTTTCTTGAAGTGTTTGAAAACTACTTTCCATCTACCATGACAGAGAGATCTGGAAATAACAGATAGATTTTGGATGATAATACCACAGATCCAACAAGAGCAAAGAGACTATGGACTCTTAAAAAAATAAGGACAAAATTTTTAAAAAGAAAAATACACAATATGTCTAGAAAATTCTCCATGAAAACTAGTTTGGGAGGGAATAAAAACCTTACACAGCCTACATCCATATTATTTGGATGAAGCCAACATGGCACTCAAAACTAATAAGTTGTTTTTTATGTTTTTTAATTTGTGTTATTTGCTGATTTGTTTTATTGAAAAATTCAACTTTGTGTATTTGCTAAGTATATCATGGTATTTTAAGGTGTATATATATATATATATATATATATATATATATATATATATATATGGTGAAATGACTAAATGAAGTGAATTAATACATGCATTATTTCATATATTTATCAGTTTTGTGCTTAACAAAGTATTGCATTCATTCTATTAGTACTTACTAAGAACATAACATACTCACCATGTGATACAAAAATACTCTTGACCTTCTTATGCCCATTCAAATAAAAATTTCTAAACTTTGACTAACAATATGCCAACACTCCACAAAACACAGTACCTGGTCACCACAATTTTACTCTGTGGATTTCTGACTTCCACATGTTAGTCAAATTTTCCTGCAACTGACTTTCTGTATCTGCCTTATTTCACTTAATGCAAAGTCCTGCATATTCATCCTATGTTACTTTAAATGGCAAGATATTTTGATATGTAAATAGCAATGGCATATAAATACCACAATTTTACTAACTTGATCATTGATGGGCACACAGGTTGAGACCATATCTTGAATATTGAGAACAATGTTTTCACTGAACACAATAGTGGAGCTATCTCTTCCACGTGCTGATTTCATTTCTTATGGATACATATTTAATATTGGCATTTCTGTATCATGAGGTCATTCTACTTTTAATTATTTATGTGTTGTGCTTGGGATTAAGCCCAAGGGTTCTATACTACTAAATTACAACACAGCTTTTAAAATTGTTTCAGACATGATGTTCCTAAATTTCTGTGACTTGCCTCAAAATTGAAATCTTTTGCATGGCCTCCAATTAGCTAGGATTACAAGCTAGTAGCACTATACTTGCCTTTTAAAATTTATTTTAAAACTATTTTCCACAAGGACTATATAATCTACTGTTGTCCGTTTTTTTTTTAATGGACAAATCAATTAACAATATACAGCACATAAAGATAAAGGAAACCATGGTTTAATCAAAGTAACAACAACAACAACAACAACAACAACAAAAAACCCCGAAACATTAGGAATTGAACATTAGGATAGTGAGAGTTATAAATTACCCAAAACTACACTAAGTAAACATTTGAAGGGAGATTAGATAACTAAATTTAGACAAAGATTGTTAATATAAATAAGCAGAAATTGTGAATGCGAATAATTCCTCAAGAAAAAAATGTCTGAAAGAGGCAGTCATGGTGTGTAAAGCTGTAATCTTAGCCATCTGGGAGAGGCTGAGCAGAAAGCCCATAAGCTCAAGTCCAGTTTTAGCAACATAGTGAGATCCTGTGCAAAATTAAAAACCTATAGAATATATAAAGGGAAGTGGTAGAGAAATTCAAGTATGCCATTATGAAAAGTGATAAGCCACAAGTTAAATCATTAAGCAAAGTAGGAAAAACAATTATAAGAAATATAGAAAACAACTTTCAAAGTAACAGTAGCAAGTTCTTCACTTTTAAAAATTCATTTGATTATTAATGCATTATTGCAAGCCACAAATCAAAAGGAAAAGCTTTACTAACAAAATTAAATCTAAAAAGGAAAAAAGAGTTGCTGAATTAATTCCACAGAGTGTGGTAAAAAATGGAGCATGGCCTGCTCCCTAGGGTGCTCTGGGGTGCTCCAGCCCCAGGCTAGTGAGGAGCTGGGGAGCCCATGAAAAGCCTAAAGTTTCTGCCCTGCAGACCCCTGGAGCTCCCAATGTTACTGTCCACTGGTTGGCCAAGGCTGTGAAGAACCTAAAAGCCTCTCCCCCTGCCTGGATGACCTGATAATGGCAATGATCTATAGAACCTCAGACCCAGGATCTCTGGGCTGCCAAATCCCCTGGCCCAATCCTGTCCATCCTAGCCAAAGCCAGCACTGAGAAAATGGCAAACTCTGTGTGGTGGGGGCATGGCATGTCAAGAAGACTGGTGGCCAACCAAATGCCTAGAGGCCATCAGGGGCTTTAAGGGCCTAAGAAGGTGAGTGGATGATGGATTGTGCAGCCAATCAGCACAGACTAGGGCTCTCAGTGACCACTCCAGGAGGGCTTCACAAGAATACAACTTGTCCTGACAAGGAAAACAAAGGCCTTATCCATCCTGGAATGTGAGTGAAGCCCTGGAACATGATGGGTGGAAGGGTGAACACCCTTGGGTATTTGGTGTTTATTCAACCAAAGAGAGAAACTGTAGGGTAACATACCATATTTGATCAATTGAAAATGTCTACCACACTTCAGGTAGATTTACTGGCCTGTTGTACAAGGCCTGTGTATATAATATGAAAAAGCTGTTCTCAACTTTTAAAACTTTTGCCACATCTGGACATTCATTTTTTTTTTTTTTTTTTTGAGAGAGAGAGAAGAGAAGAGAGAGAGATAGATAGAATTTTTTAATATTTATTTTTCAGTTTTTGGTGGACACAACATCTGTATTTTATTTTATGTGATGCTGAGGATTAAACCCAGCGCCCCGTGCATGCCAGGCAAGCGCATCACTGCTTGAGCCACATCCCCAGGCCACACATCTGGATATTCTAAATGTAAACAGTTTGACAACATATAATAGAGTTACATAATAATGTCTTGAAAATGGCCATTTGTTTTAAAAAATCAGAAACATCTTCTGGAATTGATCTTGAAATGGAGTTTTTAGACCACATCTAGCAGTGGCAGTTATCCACATTTTTTTTCAGTGGGTTAGAAGACATCATGAAGACTTGGACCACAAGAAGAAATTGTCCTGTGCCAGACTGGTTATATGTAAAAGAAATTTTTCATATATTATAACCATTATTTTGTATGTGTATTTTACTCCTCATTACTAAGTACTAATTACTAATGCTAAGTACTTTTTAAAAGAAATATCTAGACTTTCTAGATGTACTTAATATATGTCAAAAGTAGAAGTAAATATAGCACATTGTATAAATTTTTTTTTTTAATTTATATAAAAATTTTTTGGGGGGTGGGGAAATAGCCACCCCCCAAAATATGTTGGGTAATATATATTGTGTGCTGATTCTCTGGAGCACCATGCCAGTGTGCTTACAATGAGGCAAGAGTAACCACTGTTCCTATGTCTGTGGGTTTTGTTTTACTGTGCTGTGTACTTAGTGTATATAAAGGACCAACAAGTCCTAATCTACATCTAGCTTTTCTAGCTGTTAAAGAGGTTGCCAGTGTATGACAAAAGTATAATGAGTAAACAAGTTTTGTATGTTTTGTGTTAAAATTCTTGGGAAGAATTGTCTTCTAAAAATGTGATCATTAGAGTTCACAGGGTTGGGGAAGGGCCAGAATGATCATATTTTGAAGACATTTTCAAATTAGGACTCTTGTTACATATGTGCAATTTATTCAAGACTGTCATGTATGTAGTAGACAAATTGAGTCCTTAATTGAAAAATCTAGTCTGTATAGATGTTTAGAAGTGACTGTTGTGTATTAAATATAGAGGAAGTAAAATATTACTTCATAAGACTGAATGTTATCTCTGATATGCAGATGCTTATACACAATAAGGTGGGCAAAAATAGAAGTTCATTTTGGATAAGACAAAGGGGAATGAAGGGAAGGGAGTAGGATGGGAATAAGAAAGAAAGAAGAATGAATCAGATATAACTTTTCTATATTCATATGTTAATACACAACCAGTGTAACCCCACATTTTGTACAACCACAAGAATGGGAAGTTATACTCCATGTATGTAAAATATGTCAAAATACATATATCTACTATGGTATACCTAAAAAGAACAAATAAAAATTTCAAAAAATAATAAATCTGAAAGAAATTTAATTGTATGTAATCTACAGGGAACTCTAAATCTAAGGAAAGAAGTAGATGAAAGCAAGAAAATATGAGTGTTACATACAAAAGTCACCAAAAAAAAAAAAAAAAAAAAAAGCTGGGGTTGCCAAATTATGATACAGAAACCATTTAAAACAAGAAGTTATATGGCATAAAATATATTCTAAATTAAAAAAAAAATTTAAAAAGAGGCAAAGTAGATTATACAAAGATAAAAAGAACTTTTCCTTAGAATACTGCCATGAGAATAGATATATTTTCAAGTCTTCTCAGACATTAAAAAGGTAAGATTAAAAAAAGTAAATACAGAAATAGAAAGCAACACTATAATACTAGGAGACACTAATCCCCATTTACTGTAAGAAAAAGTCAAACAAAATGGTAATCACAAAACAAAAACTTTGAAAAATACTTTAAACATATTTGACTTATATACTAAATGTTCTCAATAGCAAATAGAATATTAAACTGGATTGACCAACTGGTAAGGAATAAAACAAAGGTTAATAGGTATGAAAATAGTAAAATTATTTTGTAAATATCATAGCATAAAGTTAGAAATCAAAAGTAGAAGGGATGCTCAAAAATCTAGAAATATGTGGCAATTGGTTGAACAATCTTGAACATGGTCTTGTTCCAGAATTGAAAGATAAAATTAAGAGAACTTTGTACACCTCAGTTAGCTGGAGACTTCATGTAAATATCTATCAAACTCCCATTTCCTTTTGCAAACAGAAAAACATATTCCAGAAATTTTATGGAATCTCAAATTTATGAAAAGCCCCCCAAATTTCAAAGTATAAACAAAATTGGGAGAATGTTGTGTCATGACTTAAAAACATTATAAGTTACAATATACAATGGGTAGTACTGACATCAAGTTAAACAGATAGGCATATTAAATTGGGAGTGTGATAATCCCTTGCATATGTAGCAAATTAAAACATTTCATGCCATTGTTTGTTACAGTATTATCTAAAAGAGCTACCATGAGAAAGCACACCAAATATTCCTTGAAACAAGTGGATGAGACAATTTGTAATATAGAAACTAGAGAATATTTTTCACGTTAAAAAATCCATAAATTTTTGCAAAATCTATAATCAGGATAAATCTTCAGTATATTAGGTTAACTGAAATAAGTCCCTACCAAAAAGAAAAATATGGCAGAATTCTACTTATATAAGATGCCTAAAACAAAACAAAACAAAAACAAATATACAAACAAAAACTTTCTGAACAGAAATGAGAATGGCATTACTGAGGAGAGAAGATAGAAATGAGCCTTTGTTTACATAAGAATTTATGTATTGATTTTTGAGATGTAAACTTTCTACAGATATATTACATAAAAATTTGAATTAACATTACTGAACAATATACTTGATATGGTGGACAGCAAGTTTTGTTTTGTGGTTTTGATTAAAATTTCAAACAACACATAAAATATAAAAATAATTCCAAAATATTTTAAAGCTACCTTAAAAATGTCATTACACACACACACACACACACACACACGTAATCCAGGTACTAGGAATTCTGAGGCAGGAAGATTGCAATTTCAAGACCATCCTCAGTAATTTAGTGAGAACCTTCCTCCAAACATAAATAGAAAGGGACTGGGGCATAGCTCATTATTAGATCATGCCTGGTTTTATCCCCATTACATTAACATATAGAAAATTTACATTACTCTGTACATAGGGAGAATGAAAAACTAATACAGATAAAATATAAATGTCATTAAAAGGGAATAATATTTATGCAAGCAAGTAAAAGCACATGTAATTTTATTGGCAATAGAAACAAGGATCATGCATATCTTAATTTCAACTTACATTGTCCTAATTTGTAAAATAATGGAAATTGCCATCTAATCATAAAAAATGGATAAAAATAAAGCAGAACCAAATTATGTGAGAAAATCTACTCCACAACATAAAACCTATTCAATAAAATGGAAGAAAAAGAAAATTTAACCAACAAAATTGTATATAACCACAGATATACTATTTTACAAGCCCTTTTATGTAACTACATTTTGCAACTGTGACTACAGACCCCAAAAGAGCATTCATTGAAAACCTTGATTCACTTCACAGAAAATCCATTACAAGTATTTTAGAGCTCTAATAAGAAAATTTTAATGAATAAATATATGAATATTATTAGAGAGACTGCTTTATAATATTAGTTTATTACAATGGTTTGACCTAGAGTTCTCCAAAAATGTGCATCAATTTCCTAGAGACCCACAAATAATGGTATCTCTTTTAGACCATGCTGATCCTCATAAGCTAAGGGGAGTTTTGGTGGTTAATTTGAATGTACTGGTACATCACTGGAGAAAAAAGGAGACTTTAAAGAATTTGAAAGCATGATAAACATAGAGCATATGTGTTCAATGATAACAAGAGAAATAAACCTAAGCTTCTAAAAAAATATTTTCTGGTGGATAACTTTTCCATCAACATTTGAAGTTTGACGTCCTCCTTGACATTTGGGCCTCTCAATGTGTCCAATGCTATGTGTAGGCCACAATATTTTACATCACTGAATTCATCTAAGTACCACTTATGTAAAGTGAAGAATATATAACTAACCAAGAAAGGAAGAGATCAAAGACTCAAAGGAATATCATTAACACTTATCTGTACCAAACAATGCCTTTTTCTTGAAAGCACAAACCTAAAACTCATTCTTGCAGAGAAGTTCCCAGAAGATATTCTGCAAGGGAAGAAAATTAAATAACAATAATGAAGAATTCTGAATGGAAGTTATACATACCCAGGAAGACCATGTTTCTGTAGTTCTCTAACATTACATCTCTATATAATTTTTGCTGAGCAGGCTGCAGGCATTCCCACTCCTCTTCAGTGAAATCAATGGCCACATCCCTGAATGTCAACAGTTCCTGAAACAAGAATAGGTAAATAAATAGCACATTGACCAAATGATAATCCACAGAGTTTGTGATCTAATTAAAGTTGAGATGAGAGTTTGTAAAAAGACTCTCATGTGATGACTTTAATTATTTATAAAGATACTTTTAAACACAGTGATACCATTATCTACCTCTGAAGAAAAAGTGACATAAGTCCAAAAAGAGTGTATATGCTCCACTTTTATGAAATAAAATATAAAAATTCAGGCATCAACACAAGAATATACATTTGTTATTTTATATCATAATCTAAGTTGTATATATCTCTCAGATGAGAAAGTTATGATGATTAAGAAGGGGAATTCTCAGCATAACCATGAATCAGAGATTTACTAAAATGCAGAATATGATTCAATAGTTCTGGGATGGAACTGAGTTTTCTGAATATGTAGCAACCTCTCTAGTGATTCCAATACCAGTGGTATAAGACAAACTTTTGAAATGCAATGAGGTAGAAAACTAAAGGAAATATTTATTTTAGTAAATACTTTAGTAAATATTGAATTTGAATTCAAATATTTTATGGTATTTATGTATATTATTAAAATAACAAATAGCAACAACAATCTTGTTTGAATATTTTTGTTTTTTAAATTTAAACTTATTTTTAATAATAAAATAAAAATTGTACATATTTATGCAATAAAAATTTTGATACATGTATAAATATGTGATGTTTCTAACAGCATAAACTTATCTCACTCTTCAAACAATTTCATGTTTTATTTAATTTTATTGGTTCTTCTTAGTTCTATACAAGCATGGGATATATTGTATTCTAATTAGGATCCTATTCTTGTGGGTGGGCATGATGATGGGAGAATATTGGGAGGGAGGATGGAGATAAAAGAAGGTAATGAGGATTGAAAGAGAGCAAATCAAATTGAACCTTGTATGATTTTGTCAAAATAAACACAATTAATATGTATAACTATAATGCTCTAATAAAAAATTCCTTTTTAATTTTTTTTTTTTTTTTTTTTTTTGTAGTGGTGAGAATTAAACCTGGGTTCTTGCACAAGCAAGGCAACTTCTCTACCATGGAGTCACATCTCCAGCACAAATGTATTTCTAATCTTGATTATTTCTTTCTGTTAAATAATCTAATCTCACTCTTTCTTATATTTATTGTTTTATACCATTATTATTGTTAAAATGATTTTTTCTCATATCTTAAGTAATATCCTATTATTATAATCATCATCATCATTATTATTCTTGTTATTATTAATTATCTTCAATACACATGCTAAGAATTCCATGTGATCAACCACAATCTTGTACTATTTTACACACATGTCTTCTATAATTGCCTGTGTATCTAACTCAAAATCAAACCTTGTTTCCCTGATGATCAGTGTCATCCCTCTCACCATGTATTCAGTACTCTGGACTTTATAGTCTCCTCAGTCTTGCATTAGCTCCAATCTACACTAGTACATAAGCCCTACTTTTGTATCTACCACACCTAGACACAAGATTGTGCTGGGAAAAACAAACAAAACCTACATCTGATATTCCTGTACTAACACAGAAGCAACTGTACAAAAGGGACAGTCACCTGCATGAGAAATGAGCCATATTGACAATAAATAATAGAAAAATGAAACCTGACTAATAAGTAGAACATAAAGAAGATATCTAACATGTTATTTTTAGATTGTCCTTATGAATATTGTAGACATAGGCTCATGACAAAAATCCAATTTAGATAGCTACCTGATCATTTTATTACTAACATCACTATTTCAAAATCCAACTCCCACAGGTTTTCCACAGTTTTATTCCAAGTTCACTATGATATTTGTAGGGATTCTGACTGTGGAAATATACAGGGAAGCATTCCTCTGGTGAGCAAACTCCTGGGGGATAACAGGCACCCTGTTTCCAACCCTTAGAATGCTCTGCAGTTACTCCCTGGAACTAGTAAGATAACTAATACATGTGCAATGCCTAGCTGCTATGATAATGTCCTTTATGAGGAGGCTCTGTGCTAGAGTCTATCAGCCTTGACCTTGATCTCAGGCACACACTTCCTAGAAATAAAGGATCTCTCTTGTTAGACACCACAATGTTTCACTGAGCCTAAAGCTGCCAACATAACAGTAACTTTTTACAATGGATTTTCTTGAGAGCTACACAAAGCTCGTAACGTTGCACATTGTAACTTATTATATAACTGAGAGATAAGCTGCATAATGTTGCTAAATCTGTAACCTGACAATGAACAATGTGTACTAATGAAGCCAATGACCTAAAGTAATCTATTGATATAAATAAAGCTGGCATCTAAGGTGAGCAGTTTTTGCTTTTGCCTCTGCACTTCACTTCTGTATCCATTTGCCTTCCCTACAATCATATGAAACTGATCTAACATGACCATATCTACCTTTCAATTACAAAATCAACCCTAATTTTAAAGAAAACAAATGGCTTGCATTCTATCATACTATAGATAAAATGGAAATAATAAGGATCTATAAGATATTCTGAGTAACAATAGCTGATCACACTTTATTTTCACCTGATCATGGAACTCTCTCTAAAATAAATCATATTTATGGCCACAAATAAAGTCCTAACAAATAGAGAAAAGTAGAATCAATGCCTTGTATCTTATCAGATAATTATAGCCTAAAATACACAGCAAGAAAAATTAAGCTAGTATACAATCATATGGAGATTGAATCACACACTTTTGAGTGTATGTCATAAAAATCAGGAGATAAAAATCTTAGAATCAACCAACAGAAATACAATGTACCAGAACTTCTGGGATATTCTAAAGGCAGTTCTAAAAGGAAAATGCAGTTGTGTTCCTAAATAAAATACCAGAAAGATTCAAATCAAATAATTTACATGTCAATCTCCCAGCCTTATAACAATAACAACAAATTATTCCCCAAATGAGCACAAGAAAAGAATATGAATCAGAGATGAAATTAATGAAATAAAGAATAAAAGAATATAAAGGATTGATGAAAAAAAACTAGTCGGTTCTTTGAAACAATAAACAAAATGAATAAACCCTTAGACAAACAACTCAAACAAAAGAGAAAACTCAAATTCATAAAATTAGAGATGAAAGAGCTCACATTATCACATAAACCAATGCAATTTAGAGGATTATCAGGGAATTATTTTGAAAACTCATATTCTAATAATTGGAAAATCTAAAAGAAATGGTTAAATTTCTAGGTACCTATGACCTACCCAAAATGAACAAAGTGGATATTGAAAACCTAAAATAACAATAAAAAGCAATGTAACTGAAGCACTAATACCAAGCCTTCCAACACAAAAACTTCTGGACAAGTGAATTCAATACTGAATTCCATCAGATAATCAGAAGAAATTAACACAATGCTTCTCAAGTTATTCCTTGATATAGAAAAATAAAAACCCTCCCAAATTTATTCTATGAAGCCAGTATCACCATGATATTAAAAACCAGCCAAAAGACCAGCACCCACATGATCCAAAATTTGGGAGGCTGAGGCAGGAGGATCACAAGTTCAAGACCAGCCTCAGTAACTTAGCAAGACCTTCTCTCAAATAAATTAAAAGAACTGGGATTCTACTTAGTGTTAGAATTGTCCTGGGTTCAATCCCCAGTACTATTTTTTTTTTTTAAAGAGAGAGGAGAGAGAGAGAGAGAGAGAGAGAGAGAGAGAGAGAGAGAGAGAGAGAGAGAGAGAGAAAATTATTTTTTAATATTTATTTTTTAGTTTTCGGCGGACACAACATCTTTGTATGTGGTGCTGAGGATCGAACCCGGGCCGCATGCATGCCAGGCGAGCGCGCTACCGCTTGAGCCACATCCCCAGCCCCCCCCAGTACTATTAAAAAAAAATCCAAATCCCGACAAGAACACTTCTCTGATGAAAGAAAACGACACACCAATATAATTGATGAACTTAGATAAAACCCCCTCAATATAGTAGCAATTCAAATGAAATTCAATAGCATGTTAAAAAGATCATACAACATGATAAAGTTGTTTTCATTACAGGAGTGCAACAAACACAATTCAAAAGAAATTCTATATATGACAAACCTAAAGCCAACATCCTATTTAATAGGGAAGAGCTGAATGCATTTTTTCTAAAATGAGGAACAATAGAAGGATGTTCTGCCACTATTCCTATACAATAAATACTCAATTTTTAGTTGAAGCATTTGGCAAGAGGCAGAAATAAAAGGGTTACAAAGAGGAAAGGAAGGAGTCAAATTGTCTCTGTTTGCAGATGATATAATTCTAAACTTAGAAAATACTAAAAGTTCCACCAGAAGATTCCTAGTGATGATAAACAAATTCAGCAATGTTGCATAATAAATAAATCAAGATATGAAACCAATAGCTTTTGCCCACAATATGAATCTGTTGGGAAAAAATGAGGAAACTTGTTTCATTCCAAATAACTAAAAAATTCTTAGTAAGCCAGTTACAGGGCCGTATGCCTGTAATCCCAACTTGGAGGATCAGCAGTTCAAAGCCAACCTCAGTAACAGTGAGGCATGAAGCAACTCAGTGAGACTCTATCTCTAAATAAAAAATATAAATAGGGCTAGGAATGTGGCTCAGTGGTTGAGTGTCCCTGAGTTCAATCCCTAGTACAAAAAAAAAAAAAAAAAAAAGAAAAAGTTTAGTAATAAGTCTAATAAGTCTAACCAAAGAAAGGAAAGATCTCTACAAGAAACATTACAAAAAAATTACTAAAAAACTTAAAGTCATCTACATATAAACTAAAGCCACATACATTAACTACATTAAATAAACTAAAGCCATCTGGAGATTAAATAAAGACATCAGATTAACTAAATCCACCTACAGAATCAATACAGTCTTCATCAAAATACCCATATTATTCTATACCTAGAAAAAAACAATCCTAAAAATCACATGGAATAACAAAAGAACCAGAAAAGCAAGGAATTCTGTAAACTATAACCTGAAGGCCTCATTATAC